CCATAACACAGTCAGACCAAGAGGGGAATAAGGTCCAAGTAGAAATAACGCGAAACGGTCAGACAATTTCAATAACGTTACCAGCCAAATATAGCGGGGGGGCCCTTACGCCGTGCAAAGGGTCGTTTTGGCTTTTCGAGGGCGCCAGCTACGCGTAGTTCTAGTTGGCCCCGAGTTTCGAGGGTGTGCCTCGAGGACTCTCGAGGAAAATTAGCAAGTCCCTAGGGACCCCGTAGAGTCTTCCGCCGGCCGGGCCATTGTCTGTTAAGCGGCGGGTGGTTGGTAGCCCTTGCCAGTCCCGGCTAAAAGCTCCGTGAGTGGGTGGCTCGGAGGGGCGACGGTGCTGCCGCCGTTTACATTGCTGCCAGTAGTATAGTGTCATAGTGGATGAGTGTAGGGTTAATATTGTTAGTGAGGTAAGGGTGGTTATTTTGAGGGTTGGTACTCGAATTCGTCCTTGGACACACCTCTGGGAATTTTTTTGGAAATTTTTTTTTTTTTTTTTTTTTCGTTCACTTTCATTTTTAACTAGTCTGTGAACTACCCCTTAAGTTGACGTGCTTCGCTATGTAAAACGGATTCTAATTACCTGGGAGCAATGCATCGCGTTCGGCCTGACAGATGGAAACTGTATTAGTGACAATGGCCCGGAAATATGGAGAAGGGGTCGCTCGTGTACCGTGCGGCCTCGAGTTCGTTTGTTTCGGCAAATGGAATTGCTAACGGGATTATGAGCGAGTCTGCGAAGCGCATGCCTCCCCCCTCCTGTGTACCGTCCTCCCACTCCGAGAGGAGTGGGAACCTCCTCCACCCACCGTATTCCATCCCTCTGCTATTATTATCCCGCGTTGTCTCGTCTGGTAACAATGCACTATTTCACTTGTCCCCTGCCGCCACCCCCCTCGGTCGTTCCGTATCTACGTCATTTTGTCCAAGAATATTTCGCAAACCCTTATGGATCTTTTTAGTTTTCTAGCCGGTAGTCCGCGCCGTGGTAACCCTGTGTATTTGTTCATTTCATTGGGAAAATGGTAAACACATCGAACGTCAAGGAGAATTTTGGTGGATTTGAAGAAAAAAAATTTCACACATCAATCCGATTACGCGATACTCAATTTTTTGAGAAATTTCAAGGTCTACTTAGTGTTTTTGCCGAGGTCGTAATTTAAAAAAAATTATTTTTTTTTACCAATTTTGGTCGATCCAAATAATACAGGCTCAAGAGGTCTATTCTCGTTGAACCCCCGACCATATGACGTCATACGGCAATTGAGCGAATTCGATGAAACAGCCTGTATAATTATCGAGAGTGACGTGTGAAATGGCATTGAAAGGTGGCAAGTAAACGATGCGTCCATAAAGGTTTCTAAGGGTTGATTTAGCTGAAAACGAGTCCTACCCGACAGCTCCCATACGAAATACGTCGGTACAGTAGCGTTTGTCAACAGCGCACGCACGCTTCTCGTCAATTGCGACTGTCAGACCTATCCATTGTGTTTGGTTTGAATGGACCTGTAGACAGATGGGTCGAGGCGTGGGTGCAGGTGGAAACGGTCGTATGGCTAGACCGTAGGCCGTACACAATTCCTGGGTGTACAGAGTCAATAAGGGGTGGTAGCCACCCTTGAGAGTGGGGGGTAGCGGGATGCTCTCGTGAGTTCTTGTGCAGGTCGGGGGTTGGGTGCAGCATCCTCTCCGGGGTGGCTAATGAAGATGTTTGTCAATAGGGGCATGTTACGGTAACTGGCGGCATCGCGGCTCTCATTGAGGTAAGGTTAGGTCGGGGCCAAGAGGGATGCTGCAAGGAGCCCTTGTACGGATACTCGCCCTCCTATACCTGTATACTGCACTTTACAGCTGTATGCCTATACACACAGGGATGCTGCATCTTGGTTTACCCAATAGGGTGCTTACCCCCCGAGCAAGCAAGACGTGTTTCATTAGGGTCAATATTGAGTTATAATCGAACTGCCTGTGCTAAATTAAATCTTTTTCAAAGTTTGCATCGATTGAAAATATATTTTTTTCGGAATCTGTTTAGAGGATTTTTTTTTTTCTACGTTCATACCGGCCGGTACGCCGATCTGACGCCTGACGGAGTTTAAGGCTCGTATCTGGCGACCCTTATTCTTTTACCTTCGATCGTCCGGAGTATGTCTGATTTAGCTTTAAACAGCCTTCGAACGCGGGATGAAAATTCATTTTGAGAAATGACGGCAGACTACCCTTGCATCCTTGTATGGACCAATTACATGCTTTTGATCGGATTTATTTGAAAAGGATGTACTTGGTTTTACAGCGGCTTTGCTTTCGACGCCCTTAGACCCAGCTACCCCGAGACAGGAGAGGACGACAGGGACAAGCGGGTTTTATTTGGCATTCAAATTTCAAATGGCAAAGATCAAAGGTCAGGCGCGAAGACATATCCCGTGTTCGCTTACGATATTTTCAGTGAAAAATATTATTTTCACGGTTCGCTGTAATTTTAATATTTTTATTTTACCGGGACTTACGTTACAAAGTCGCAAGAGCCTCTCACCGTGAATACTTTGAGAGTCAATGTTGAAATTAATAAATTTCTCTCGTTCTCTTTGCACCCTTTACTTTTTACATCCCGCCGTACCTGGTGCCCCCACTTCCTTCGTATATACGAATGGAATTACTTTTGGTGTTTTATGGTGTCTCCTGGCACCTTTCGCGGGGTCGAGGTGCCTGAGAAATCGATACAAGGCAGAAAACGTGTAGGTTGGCGGAGGGTAAGCAGGAGTAGTGGTATACCGGTAGTCTGAATAGAAGAGTGGTGGGCACGGGGGGTAGTTTAGAGTGACAAGGTGGAAGGTGGAAGAGGGTGGATTGTTAGGTCGAACGGGTCGCAGGGAATCCGCGGTGGACAATGGACAATCTAAATTCATAAATAATCGGCGAGCCGCTCGTTAATCATGGCCGCCGTGACACATTTTGTTTCAATCACAATCGTCGAGGACCCCGTCGTAGGGGTGTCCCGTAGGGTATTAAAGGGCTATTAGCCGAAGGGTGGTAGATTGGTAGGTGGCGTTAGTGTCAGCAGGGTACACCGATCGCGTCGGTGTACCTGATATCGATAGGGATACGCAAAGCCCCGTTTACCAAGCACAGTTAGATTATCCCATTAATAACGAATGGCTTGTTCTCGAATTTCGAGCTCACCCCTATTCCTCCACAACCGAGGGTGAGATTCTTGGCTAAGCCCAATGCGACCCCCCCTGCGCCATTTGAACATGCTCGAAATCCACCGATTCGATGTTCCCCGTTTCTTCGTCTGAGGTTGCACGGAGTCGCTATGCTTTACAACCCTCGTAAGAAGGTTCCCACCCTCTTCCGGTAACCGTGAACCGAACTACCCCCCTACCAGACCAAAAGCTAAGGTGGCATGCCACGAAATGCCACCCTTGGAAATTAAGATGGGGTATACATAACTCAACGATTGAGATTACGTCTTGCCATGGCGTCTCGTACCACGGAGGTTGTTGGGTCGACTAGGGGATGAAAAGCTTGAAGAACCACAAGCGAGAGGAGCAGAACCCGAATTGGTAGCTGGGCTTCTCCGGCTGGCGACTGGCTTTGCTTCGCTCGGAGGGTGGCTGACTGGGTGGCTGGCTGGGTGGCTGGCTGGCTGGCTGGCTGGCTTACTTGGTAAGTGTGTTGCACGACCGATAAAGCTGCAGGCATACTTTGTTACCATGGCCATACTTATGTACCGGTGCGATCATCAATTTTAAAGTTTCCTAAGTAAAGTTTATTCCAGGGCTGTATAGTAGCTTGGTGGTCGGGGGGGCCCGAAGGAGTCGACTATTGTGAAGTTGCTCGACTCACACACCGGTTGTGGCTTCTCCAAATTGTAGAACTACACCTCCTTCGCTGCTTATACCGGTTCATGCACGGGAGTCCGGGCTAGGCCGGGCTAGGCCGGGGGAGCCGGGACCGGGGTAGCTGCGGATGATTCCATAGTCAGCCACCACTCCCTACGTGGTCTGCACCACCTCACGACCTGGACTAGCGTCTCATGCATAGTTCACTGGCTCTCCGTTCTTCAGCTTCGTGTCTCTGCACGCTATTTACACTCGCTCTTTAGGTCCTTCGTATCCACGTTACGTCACACGTGTGTATCTTCCTGGGGCGCGTAGTTATGCAGTCTCGAGGGGATGACCTCCCATCGGACATCCTCTCTCGTGCGACCCCTGGACCCGTCGCTCCCTAGCGCTCTCTATAGCGCTCTAGCAGGATATGCGTGATTTCGCGAGCGATGGGCTTCCGGCTCGTTTGCGTTGTAACCGAGGGCGAGAGAGATCGATCCGGACCTTTCCAGTCCTCTCTGTACTACACGCTGCAACCCTTACTTTTTTCAACCCCTCCTGTCTCCGTATCTCGTTGAAAAGTTGGTCGTGTTGAAAAAAAAAAAAAAAAAAAAAAAAAAAAAAAAAAAAAAAAAAAAAAAAAAAAAAAAAAAAAAAAAAAAAAAAAAAAAAAAAAAAAAAAAAAAGAAATACCGGAAGCAGCTACTCTGTTTTAGCTGCTCCACAAGTATTTGTAGCGTTTTACTACCCTATCGCGTCATCAATTTTCAATCCATCATAGGGGTTGTTGTTTCACCTAATCATTCTCACTAATACCTCACTGACTTCGAGGGCGTTTTTCCACCCCAATTTTAAGTACGTCTACAAACCATATATTTCGTATCTAACGTGGTCAAATCGCGTCTTAAATTGTCTGTACGAAAATTACGAGTTTAATGTCATATGCAGGTTTCTACGATATAAAGTAGATTCGCGCATGCGCGTTCTTGGTATTTCAAAAAAAAATGTTATATCTATCATCAAAAAAATTTTCTATATATAATATCCAAAAAACTTTCTATATCCAATACCGACAAAAAATCAATAGTCAATTCGGTTCTTAAATATTTATCTATTCCATTTTCACTTCCCTTCGTTAACCTAGGTCATTTCCGATTTTTGTTTCAGGATTATCGCCGAGCTCTACGTAATTCCAGAGGTGAGTTTCATTGTCAATACTAATCGGAAACATTCGTAGCTTTCGAAATCCAACAGTCTACGTGATTTGTTGTCCCTCGGAGCAGAACTTGCAGCAACGTCGACCCACGTTTCAGTGGGTCTCCTTTAGGGCGTACAGCTACCCGCTATTGGCATACTGCACGTATTCTGGGCACAGTGCGCTTTTGGGATAGGCTTTTGCGCAGTAAACTGTACGCTGAACCGGAGTCATTCTAATGTGGCCAACAAGTGCAATAATGTGTACTGGAATATTCTATGGAACACGTGCGATCCGACGAGCGTATTCAGTGAGTGAAGTAGCATCGTCATGACGTCAGAATGACAGTGGCGTAAAATTATTTATTAACACGAAAAACATAACTGTTGTCATTTTGACATACAACGTAATAATAGATTCGCCTTTTTTTTTTTCCCCCCCAAAGATTAGACTCTTCGATATTCTCCGGATACCGTCGATCTGATTTATTTACAATATTTCGGCCGTCACACGTGTCTCGTGTTCTTATCAGATATTTAAATCGTCCCTTGTACCTGTCGACTTCGACGAGCCACGTAAATACCCTGGATACAAATTTTGCATATTGCGTATAAAATGGTGAAAAGGTCCATTTTTCGTTGTCCAGAGGGGGTTGTACAGGTAAGGGTTGGTTTTTGCGATGCAGAAGCTCAAGCTGTTTTGGATATGGATGATCGGAGGGGGCATAGATGCTGCACGGCGGGTAAAAAGGTTGACTATTAAAAAATAAAAAAAAATAAAAAAAAAAGGCAAGGATCGACCTGGCCCGAAGATAAAACCTGAACACCATAGTAGCACGGAGCACGGAGAGTGTATAGCTCCGGCATGTGTGATAACGCGGAGAGAGCCCAGCAGGCATCGGGAAGCGTCGCCCGGCGTCCTGGCCCGACGCCAAATTTACCTAGGATATATCGACGCCCAGGGATAGGCGCGTTATCAAGCGATTTATATCGGTGTTTTGGAAAATTTGTAGTCCCGACACGCGACGCTTCTACACTGCGTGGCGGACAGAGGAGGCGTAGATGGCGCTGCGGTAGCGGCATGCAAAACCCATACAGAAGTGGATAACGACGTGGCCCGAAGGGGTTGACGGGAGAATAAAAAGGGTTCGGAAGGTAGGACAGGGAGAGGGAAGCATGAAATAGTGAAAAAGGTCGGAGTCACCTTTGGCATAGGTTATATCGGGGACGCTGAAGCATCCAACACCCTTGGGGTTAGGGGTTGGCTGGCACCCTTAGTCTCCGCGTAGTCCCCGTTCCGGAAGTCTCGGTGATAACCGTTCAGTCTTTGAACCTCTTGAAAAAGCTCGAAAAGTCCTCGTGACGTCACTCCTGGCAGTACAGCATCTTCCAGATTTACCTCTCCCGCCCTACGGTCCTGGGAATTTCATCCGTCGCTTCCAAAGCAGTCCAAATTTTTTATGGGAATTCTTAGGTTGGTCGATAAGAAGAGATCGCGATAATACGGATCTGTATGATTTTTTTTTTTTTTTTTTTTTTTAAAA